AAAAATCGGCTTTAAAATTAAAAACTCACATCGCTCAACATTTCATTGAGAACAGAAATGGCATCTGATTCTATGAAATTGATCTTGTGCTCCACACCAGCCTTCTGAATGAATGGCAGTCCAACTTCAAATGCTTCTCGATTTGGATCTATTGCTACTATCTGTTGAAAAATTAAAAAAATAATAATAATGAAAACAAAAAGACTGATTTAGATTATGGCTATATTGGAATCTTATTATCATTTTATGAGGGAACAATTATTTTAGTAATTAGAATCTTTGTCAGCTTGTCATGTTTCAATCCCAGTAGAACTTAGTCTCTCATATTGAGCAAGTACTTGTCCTAGTTACCTCATTACTGAACTCATTCCCCAATCAAAAAAAGAAAAGAAAAAAAGTACTTGTTTTGGAGATAAGACCATGACCATGAGATTAGACTATGTATCTTGATCAATCTTGTATCATATTTGGATATAAAATGCGTCTTAGGGTTGATAGTTCCGCTGAATTGCATATCCCTCATATTGGGAATTATTGAGTCCCATTGAGAAGGATACAAAATGACCGAGTAAGGAATCCAAATTATGAGTTTAAAAGACCAAAATATCCTCAAACATGGTCATTACATTATGTAATCAATGTCTTAAGGATTTCAAACAAAAATAGAATAGGTTACATAATTCCTCCCTATTGCAGGAACATTCCAAACGTGGAATAAGATACGTAATTCCAAAAAATTGGTAATTCCAGAATTATTAGTTTCAAAACTAATGATCCCATGTAATCTAAGTCATCCTTTGTAACTTGGCTAAAAATTTAGTTTGTTGACTAAAAATAGACCCACAAAAAAGCAAATGCAAACAAAAACAAAAACAAAAAAAGTTTGAAACAAACATGGTCACAAGTATTCCATTCTGCTCACAAGAAAGGGGTTTGAAAGGTTAAGGTAATTTTAATATTTTGCGTGACCATGCCATTTTCAGATGAAATGACAACTTCTTGATTTAAAAATGTTAAAAAGCAAATTTTTAACAAGCTCTTTCGGGCTTGATTTAAATTTGATTACAATTTAAAGAGGGAGTTACAAACCTGGCCATCATGAGGTAAAGCAAGAGCAGTGGTAAGAAGAGAATAGCCAGTGAAAACACCAATCTCCAATGTCTTCTTCGCATTCATTAATTTCAAAAGCATAGACAAGAACAATCCTTCATCAGGGGGCACACTTAGCTCCGCTCTACAATTCAAATTGCAATTTTGTTATACTTTTTTTTTTTTTTTTTTATAACAAAAATAAAAATTAACTAAATAAGTTGTGAATAAACAAAATTCTGAAAACATTTTTTTTTTTTTTTAATGTTTCATTGGCCACTACTTGGAATCAAGACCATTCAAAAGTAGAGTGCATTGTGGCCAAAACTTGTAGTAACAAGTTAACCGGGCGGATTAAAAAAAAAAAGAAAAAATCATTTTCAGTCCATGATTTACACTGTATGGTATTATCCGGGCTTGTGGAGATCATCACGGATTTCATTACGATGATCCGAACAATTTATTTTATAGAGTTCTTTGTGTATATCATGCACAAAAAAAATAAAACAAAAAGGAAAAGTCAATTTAAGAAATGCGATTAATTGAATAGGTTACGATTATCAAATTGACCTAAATTTTTTTGTGAATGATATACACAAAAGACTTTACAAAATGAACGGTTTGAATTATCGAAACAAAACCCGTGGTTGGCTCCATCAATCCCGACAACACCCTCTAGTCCATGATTTTGACTAGATAGAAGCTAGGTCCAATAATCTAATTATAAAAATATATTTCAGGTTGCTTAAAATGATGTTTGAGTTTATTAATATTGTCAACCATATGTGAGCCAGTCCCTAACCTGTTGCCATATTTCTTGAAAGTTGCATCTCTTAGCCACTTGAGCTGCTCATGTTCTCTTGGGTATGCACTGGTATCCAAGATGTACTACTTAACAAAATTGAATCAATAAGCAAAATGATTGATATAAATCCATAAAATGGTGTTGCCCACATCTAAAACAAGTTTTTTTTTTTTTTGATGAACAAATAAAAACTTTTTTTGATGAGAATCAATGTACATAGTATACTAAGACAAACATCAATCAATTGGAGCGATTGGGGGTACAAGTGCGCAAAGCATCAAAGCAAAAACTCAATAATATATGAAAAAGGAAAACATAAACCAAAAAGGAACAAATAAAAAGAAAAGAAAAGAAAGGGGGTGGCTGGCAGTAGGAGTGTATATATTGTTCGCTTCGGTCAGGTTCTAGAAAGAATTTGGAACCAAATTTTTTCTCTACATTTGTATTTAACAATAATCAAAACATACCATTTGTCATTTTAAACCGCACCAAACTGCTATGCATTGTGGCAGTTTGGTCACATTTTGAAATTTCATTCTTTTAATGAACAATCAATTAACAATATAATGAAAATACGTCGTTATAAACTCAGTTTTCCTGTTCAAAATATTGACACCACCAATTCTCTCATTTAGACGAATCAAAGGTATACTTTACATAATAATGCTACAATGGTCAAATTTGTTTAAATGAGCGAAACTAGGTCTTCAAGACTATTTAAGCTACACCCTGGGTCCTACAAAGTTGGTGACGTAACATTCTTCATCCAATTTTGGACTAACATTAGTTGTTGGATTAAATTGAGAAAAAATAAGAAGGTAAGGAAAGTAGGAAAAACACTTTAAAGGCCAAAATTGAAAAACACTAAAACATAAGGGGGCAGAGTGTATTTATCCTTATTTCTGCCTCATGGCTTTTTTTCATCCAATTTTGGTCGGATATTGGTTATTGAAGAAAATTAGAAACGTTAAGGATCAAATTGGAAAATGAAATTTAAGAGAGTCAAAATGTAATTTATAATGCTACAATTACCACATTTATATACAATAAAGTGCTTTCCACCTCATGTGTTACTATTGTGTTAGTAATAGATATGAAAACTGAAGCCATATAATACGTTGATGATATATGGATAACAAAAATATTTTATAGTGTGCAAATTTGACCATTGTAGCATTTTATCCTATATGAAACAGAACCTAATGCCCAGGGTATACTTTTTGTTTAGTTTAAATAAATTGTTTATTACCCTTTTTCCTCTTTTCTTTTTCTTTTATTCTTATTAATTATTTATTTGTTAGTTTTTTAGGATTTTATGTTGGACAGTTTGTTGTAGACCTGCTTATAATTATTTTATAAAAATAGATTAAATAATCAAGATGAAAAATAAAAAATTGCATAAGGAGCGTTTTTAAATTTTGCCTGAAGATTATCAAATAATCAGATTTGGTGAAATATTTTACAAAAGTTGATAATAAAAAATAAAACTAAATGCACCCCCATCCACTGCTTTTCAAGAATCATTATTTTTCAATTATAAATTATTTTGATTGATTGGACTGGGATTGTCTAATTGAGGAGACTTTGCGGAAAAATCTATACATTTTCATGTTTCTCAATCATTCAACACAAATTCGTGAGCTCCACTTCCTTTTCCTATCACAATACCATTGGAGCATCACATGGCGGTGCCTCAAGACCAACTAATAACTTCTTGACTCAGTGGGTCTATTTCTGTCCACTTTTGGTTATCAATCAATTATTGTTTTTGTTTTTTTAATGCACAATTAATTATTTTGTTAAATTTGGCAAATAAATTATTTGTATGAAAAAATCAAATCCAACCATTTCATTTGGTCAACCATTCTATCTTAAGGAAAAAAGTGATACTATACATAATTTTATTTTATTTTTTATTGAGTTTGATTTCTTTCAAATTGTCATCTTAATTTGAGAAAACATTTGAATTTTTAAGTCTATTTTGTGATTGATTTCGGTGATTCGAACCGTTTACTTTTTAAAAATCATTGAGTAGAATATTAATATAAAAAATTATGATGATTTGACATCAGTAACTATATATTAAAATCATATTTTTTTTTAAAAAAAATAGACAACAAATATAATTTTAATAATAGCCATTCATTTTTTATAATAGTGTCTATTCTCAATTTCAAATATCATACCGTCTAAGAAATAATATTATATGTAGTATCTATTCTCAATTTCATAAAAAAACAAACATCTCTGATTATGTGAACATTAATGTCCAATTCAATCAATTATATGAATTATTTGCTCCATAAACTAAGTCGAATAGTTTGAATCATCAAAATGACTCCGTATGGAGGGATACTTCACGTAGGGCTTGAGAACATTGATAACTGATTACCCAAAAAAAAAAAAAAAAAATAGAGAAAAGAAAGAGGAAGTAGACCTTGGTCGAATTCGGATCTTATGGAGTGATTTTTTGTAGAGTAATTTTACAATAATTTTTTGAATGATTGAAATTTAATTCTACAAAAATTAATGATACAATAGTATTGATAATTACTTAAAAAAAATATCAACCATACGAAAAGTCACTCTAAAAAATCCTCTGGTCAAAGTATCATAACTAGATCCACGAGTACAATTAATGGAGTGAAAGGAAGATTTGTGTCACAACAAACAAAAAAAAGTAGAAAGGTGTGTAGGAATTGTTGAGAGAGGGAGAAAGAAGAGAAAACATCCAAATGCATGTATGAGATGAAAGGAGAGAAGAAAGGCTGAACAGACAATAGAGACTTTTAATTTGATGGTGTACTACTTTTAATTCAACTAGAGAATGTGCCTAAGAACACATTATCATAGATATGTTGGCAACAAAAGGGCTTACCTTTTGAAGAGCCTCGCTTTGCAGGATGGTCTTTAAAACAATATTATCCGCCATGGCTTTACCTGCAAACCCAAACTCAATGTTTTCTCAGATGAGACTAAAAGGCTGAACAGACAATAGAGACAGACAATAGAGACTTTTAATTTGATGGTGTACTACTTTTAATTCAACCAGAGAATGTGCCTAAGAACACATTATCATAGATATGTTGGCAACAAAAGGGCTTACCTTTTGAAGAGCCTCGCTTTGCAGGATGGTCTTTAAAACAATAGTATCCGCCATGGCTTTACCTGCAAACCCAAACTCAAAATGTTTTCTCAGATGAGACTAAACAACTCTCTTTCTCTCTCTCTCTCTCTCTGCCCGTGTATATCAGATGCACTTACATAAATTCTCACAAATATATATAAGTTATTTCATATAAGTTCTCATAAATATACATAAGTTACGATTTTTAAAATTTTCATGGATTAACTTACATATTATTGTGAAAATTTATACGATTTTATAAGAAATTTACATATATGTATAAGAATTTACACAATATATATGGTATACATCTTCACACTTAAAAATTGCCCATATATATATAGAGAGAGAGAGAGAGAGATAGAGAAGCTACTGTTTATGAAATCTATAACCGTTGCAAATGAGAAAAGGAAGACATATAATAAGAAGGAAAACAAAAATTGAAACACTTGTATGATAAATTTGCCATAAATAACAGCCCTACCCAGCTTCACTTTTGAGTTCACATCATAAAAGGAAAACGAGTTATATTTCTTTCGGTTTATAATTTGGATGGTAGAGATTATCATTAGTCTTATTTCAATGATTCAAATAATATTATAATTTTTTATATATATATTTCATTCACACAAAAAGTCAGCTTATTCAATTTATTATTTGGTCGACAAACGCAAAATATTAGATATGTTATAATTATCGAATTGACTTAATTTTTTTACGAGTGATATATATCATGGATCTTACCAAATAAAAGATTTGAATTATTAAAATAAAACTTATAATAGAGTTCACAGATCTAACAACATCATTCATTTTAGATTATAGACGGCAGAAAAAACCATTCCTTATAACAAATATAATAAGAGGGATATATAGCTTTGAACAATCGTCATTTATTTTGTTCTTTTCTAACTAGCTTGCTGGGGAAGGGTTACATAAATAATTCAATAGCATCAAATGATTGTCAAAATATACAAGTTCATAAATAAACATGAAAATTATTTAAAAAGTGATAAAATGGGGATTTTTTTTTTTTCAAATTTAAGGGGGACACCTCATTTGAGAATAATATATTTTAGTTAAAAAATCAAAAAATATTATGAATTGTCACATCACTTTTTTTTGGTTTTATATATATATATATATATATTCGTAAAAAATCAAAAGTTATTAAAATAATTTGTTCCTAAATCAGGCCAATTCACTGTTTTCCGGTAACCTATTGCACACAAGTGATTATTTGATAATCTTAGAATATTGCCTTACACTATTTATTACTTGATACTTAACAAATAATTCTTCAAAAATTCAACAAAAAATTGTTAAATTCTATTATTTTTACTAATGAATATTTAGTTGAAACACCATGTAAGTAAAAATAATTTTTGCACCCTTACTGTGTATCACTTTCGCTCTTAAATACTAAGCAAAAATGATATAGAGACTCTTTTTTTGACCCCAACAACTCCCGCATAGACACCTATCAATCAGAGATAGAAAGAAAAAAAAAATTAAAAAAAAATTAACCAATCACAATGTATTAAGATTGGTGTGGGTTCCCCAAAAAAAGTACCAACCTTTTTCCAAATACTAATAAGTCACATCTCCCTTCTACAAGTAAACATGATGTGATTTAAGGGTATTTTGGCAATTTGGCTTTTAGCCATTTTTTAAAGTTTGTAACAAAACTTAAAAGTTGGTTTTTTTGTATTTAAAGACATTTGGAAAGTTAGTTTTTAGCTATTAGTGAAATTATAATTCTACCCTTCATGGATCAAAATATGCTACATAGGTGAAGTTGTAAATATTTTAAATTAAATGGGGATAGTTTTGTCATTTTATTGTGATTTAACATCATAAGCAAATATTAATAAAAAAAGCCAAAAGCAACAACTTCCCAAATCATTTATCTAAAAAATCCAAAAACTTGATTAAAAGTTAATGTAACGCCCCAAAAACATTTCAACAAGAACTACCCACATCAATTAACATTTACTAAGCCATAGCAATAATCTTCCATCTTTACAATATCAAAGAGAGAGTTTATACAAAAGTCCACATGCGAATGTACATTCAAGCGATAAAGAATCATGTGAATCTATAGCATGTGAAGCACCTACTCTCAAAACAAATAAATACCTTTTAAGGGCTTACATCTTTCCTGGCAATAGCCCGATTTCACAAAATGGTCCCTTCAACCCATACAAGTTAACCCTTGGCTTTACAACAATTACAACAAAAGGGGGAGTCATCTACTCTTCACAAAAATATCCACGCCCTCAGTTCGGCGGGATCACCACATCTTTACCTGCACCAAACCCATAGGGGTGAGCATAAGCCCAGTAGAGAAATTCTCACAAAGTATATACAGTTATGCTTTTTCCTCAACATAAAAACAAATGTAATTGCCATGCCATGCCAAGATTAAGGTACTGTGGAAAAAAACATTCATTTCAATGCACCATTTCAAAATCACCATACTCTCAATATCATCATGTGATCCTATCAATTTCAAATTTCCATTATTAATTCAATAGGGGCGGTAAACACGACACTGGTAATCCCTAAGCCGATAACTGCAAGTAGACTCTACGAGTACTACCAAACTGTTATTTTCACCGGTATTAATCGGAAGGCTCGACACCTATCTGCGTGGCTTTCAGGTCTTTCACCCTGGACACTTAAGCCAACTTATCAAATTCATCTACACCTCCTATCCGAACTTACCAACGTATTTACCCCTTACACATTTTCATGGTTCTCAACACAATAACTATTTCTTTTCCTCGTGATGGAAATCTCAATGATTTAGATTCACAATGCACTATAATAAATGAAATAACATGCAATGCAAATGATCCTTTCCATATCTTAAGACATTTCTCCACTTTTGAGTATCTCTACTACAATGCCAACATTCACATTCTCATCTTCTCTTTTCAATGTTCATCCACATGATTAATATATTTCATCAACACGTAGTCACAATTTTCATATCACAAGACATAACAAATTAGTCTCGCCACAACCTTGTTCATTTATGTATTGTCAACAATTTAACATTAACACCTCATTTTCATATAACAAGTAATTTTCCATTTTGCCAAACATTGATGCAACTCACTCTCTTCATCCTTTTAAAACAAGGAAATAAGAAATTTCAAAGACATTTGCCATATTACCAAAATCCCCAAATTCTAGGGTTTTTCTCAAAACAATCACTTCCCATTTCATGGTGAAAAACTCTCATCCAAAACATTTCATTTATTAGGTCAACAAGATAAACCCTCAAGGATTGACCAAAAATTTAGAGTTAAAAGAGAAACCCTCTTTTGAGAAAAACCTTTACATTTTGAAATCACAAGGTCTCACAAAAAGTCAAAAAAGCCAAAAAATCCTTCCCGAACAAGGCTTTTTAGCCCCAGGCTAAAATAGCCAAAAAGTCAAATAGTTAAAAGGCCAACCCACTTTCCAAACAAATCCTATATATAATATAGATAGATAGGTTTATTTTATTTTACCAATAACTTTATTTTAGAAAGTTCATTTTTAGCGCCATTTGTTTTGGCTATGAATGCAATTTGGGTGGGTTCAATCTGAGCAATTCGAGCCTAGTCCGAATTTGTTTAGGACTTAGGCAAAATATTTTTGAATTCGGTACAAGTTTGAACAAAAATTTATAAATCCAAATTAAATTTGGATGGGTTTGGATGAAAACATCAAACAACCCGAAATCTAAATTACATATATAAAAATATTACATATACATATAAATTATTAGTTGTTGAATGATATTAAAGTAATTTAGATTGTTAGATCATATTGAATATATATCAGTTATTCTTGGAAAGCGTGCCAAACTCCGAAAAGTTGCTGATTCTTCATTTTGCTGCAACAGAGAGCAGGAAAGGGGCATAGCAATGTATTTTCACAGATATATGCATGCCTCGATCCTCGTGCCACCAATCACGCATACTGAGTCATGATGGCCGAGGAGTCGAATTGCACAACTCAATATAGAATGAATGCACGTAAAAACACAGCTAAAACCTAACTCCATCATGGATAATCCGGAGTGTCGGTGATTGGGGAATTGAGACGCGTTCCGTCACTCGGAGTACGAAATACACCTCGTTTCCCGTGCCCGGGCTAACTCCTATCCCAGACACGATGCAATATGTATGAATATGCATGAATGCAACTAAGATACAGCCTAGCATGCACAATGCTATGAAAATTAGATGTCTCGAAATGCGTGCACACAGGCACGCAAACCGAGGAAACGCATGAATGCAATCTAAGATACAACCTAGTATGCACTATGTTATGAAGATGAGATGCCTCGAAATGCGTGCACACGGGCACGCAAACCGAGAAAATGACAGAATGCGATCTAAGATACAACCTAGCATGCACTATGCTGTAAAAATGAGATGCCTCGAAATGCGTGCACACGGGCACGCAAACCGAGGAAATGACAGAATGCGATCTAAGATACAACCTAGCATGCACTATGCTGTAAAAAAGAGATGCCTCGAAATGCGTGCACACGGGCACACAAACCGAGGAAATGACAGAATGCAATGCAAAAGGCTAAAATGACATGGAAAATGCAACATGGACTTATACTAACATGAGAGAGCCTCAGCCACACTCACATAAGATGCCGGTAGATGAAAATGAAGTGCCTCGAAATGCGTGCACACGGGCACGCAAACCGAGGCAATGCATACGCAATGCAAAAGACATGAAAATATGATATGGGCTTATACCAACATGAGTGAGCCTCAGCCACACTCACATAGGATGCCGATAGATGAAAATGAAGTGCCTCGAAATGCGTGCACACGGGCACGCAAACCGAGGCAATGGCAGAATGCGATGCAAATGATATGAAAACATGATATGGGCTTATACCAACATGAGTGAGCCTCAGCCACACTCACATAGGATACCGGCGGATGAAAATGAAGTGCCTCGAAATGCGTGTACACGGGCACGCAAACCGAGGCGACAACAGAATGCGATGCAAATGATATGAAAACATGATATGGGTTTATACCAACATGAGTGAGCCTCAGCCACACTCACATAGGATGCCGGTAGATGAAAATGAAGTGCCTCGAAATGCGTGCACACGGGCACGCAAACCGAGGCAATGGCAGAATGCGATGCAAATGATATAGAAATGGAAAGCAATCATTCTAATGGAATTTCAGCACTGAAATATGGGGGAAAACAGTCCCGAAATGAGGCGAAATGACACCAAATGCATGAAATAGTTCCTAAATCGAAATTTAGGCACCCGAAATGCCTATAGCT